AGGGCTTCTGATGGTAGCTGGCCTTGTTTCACTTAATCCCCGTGGCCACCCTATGGGGAGGGACCGTGAGCAGGGTTGTGAGAACGCTTGAGCCCCCGGGTGGGGGACGAGGTGGGGAGGGTGCGCCACACCGAGAGGTGACAGTGCTCGTAGCTGCCGTGCCCATGACAGGGCTGGAGAAGGGCTCTGAGCAGAGGCCGACCCATGACTTCCAGCCTGAGCCTGACCCCTCCTCTGCAACAGACCTGCCCCTCCTCAACATGCCAGGCCTGGCCCAGCCCTTCCCTTCTGTGGGGTACGTAGGAAGAAGAGAGGTGCCACTTCTGTCTTCCCTCCACACCAGAGCACAGTCCAGCCCAGCCTGGCCCCTTCCAGCTCCTCCCCAAAGCACATGCTTCATCCCGTCTGTTCCAATTTTTGCAGATGCTGGTCCGTTCTGGAACCCTTGCTGGGCCAGGACTTATTTATGGATCAGGGCTGGAGGGGGCCTGAAGGGCAGGTGTACCGTGTGGCTGGCCTCCTCTCGACCCCCATTCCTGGCTCCCATCTGTCTTCGACCTGTCTTTTGGTCCCTTGGTCCTCACACTTGTCTTTCTTTCTCTGCGTGTCTCTGTCTTCACTCTCTGGTTGACTGTGTGCAGCTGCGGAAGGTGAGGCTCTGCCCTTCACCCGCTTGATGGTCCTGGATGAGCCATTTAGGCCCAGTTGCCGTTCTCCCACCTGGGATATGGGGTCGATAGCACCTACCTTGCAGGGTGCCCTGGAAGATTAAGTTACAAATAATACAGTGAGGCTCCTGGCCCACAATAAATGGTAGCTGTTGGTGTGTTCTCTCTCTCTTTCTGTCCCTCCTCCCCCCACCCACTTTCCCTCTCCCCTCTCTCTTGGCCCCCTTCTTCTGCTGAGGAGTTGAAAACACTCTGCCCATTCCCCCACCCCGCCTTCGGTCCACCCCCATTTTCTTTCTTCTCTCTGTTTCTCTGCTTAAGTGAATCAGAACACAGAACTGGTTTGTTCTTTGTTAAATCTATCAAATGCCTTTACGTTTCCCCGTTGTCAATTGTCAAAGCCTAGGAATGAAGCGTTTTCTGTCTTGCATCTGCGGTGAAGTGTTCCTCGGGCAACCCGCCTTCCTCCTGGGACGGCCCTGGGTGGAGAGACCTCTGGGCTCAGCCACAGCCTGTGAGGCCCTGCTCCTTGGCTGGCCCACTGTCCAGCAGGCAGGGGCCACCAGGGCAGAGAGGGGGTGTTGCGACGCAATTCTTCTCTTTCCTGCTCCTTTGAACTCCATTTATCCCAATTTGCTAAATTTAAACTCAGTTTTTCCAGAGTGGCTCTACTTGAGGGCTTAGCCAGCTAAATTAAGGTTTTTCCTTCTCTTTCCCATGGCCTTTTATGAAGCTACCCAGCATTAATTATCATGTTTGTCACTGGGTAATAAAAACCTCTGAACTCCCTGCCACCAGATTATCTTTGTAAAGAAATGCAACTCACTTACAGTTAATAACCAGAGGCCCCGCCGTCCCCAGCCTGCCAAGGCGAGGTGATTTATAGCACCCGCCGGATGAGCCCATGCACTTTTGTGCAGGACGAGTGCGCTCTAGACAGCCCGGATTTCCTCCGAGTCGCAGGCTGTGTCTGCCTTGCAGTCCCCGTTCCAGGTTCGGTGGCTGCTGGCGAGATGCCCACTTCCTACCCGTACAGGCACCAGGCCCCTGAGGCCAGGCGGGTGTGCGAGGCCCTGCCCCAGGAGAGCCGGCGGCAGATGGAGTTAATGTTCTTGTCCTCTTTCCCCTCACAGACCACGTCTCGGTTGGAGGACTCGGGGACAGTTTTTATGAATATTTGATCAAATCCTGGTTGATGTCGGGCAAGACAGATATGGAGGCTAAAAATATGTACTACGAAGCCTTGGAGGTAAGACAAGCACTGGATTATTCACAGGCCGCTGGTCACCAGCCTCCGGCTCTCTCACAGGCCCCTGAGTGCTGGGGCTGCGGGGCCAGATGGGCTGAGGCTTGCTCCTACCCCCTGCAGTGAACTGGTGAGAAGATTGACAGGACAGCCCCCTCCCAGCCAGGCATTTTACA